CACACACACATGCTTAATAAAAACCCAAATAAATTGATTCTTGGTTATCAGTGCCCCCTTGGTTAACCACTTGTTAAATGCAAACACATTTCAGACAGGCAACAAACCAATATAAAAACTTCATGGCAGACTGATCCAGACTTTTTGTTTGAGGCAAATTTATCAAGACAGTTTTATATTCACTTCTTTTATAGCAATTGTAATTCCCTGTAAAATTCAAATATATTTCTGATCTCTGCTAGACTAGGGACCGTGTTATATCTGTCTGTGTACATACGCTGGAACCAAGCATGGTGCCCACCATACTGTAAGTGTTCAGTATTTGTTGGCTGGGAGTGAAAAATAAGTTTGAATAGATGACTACAACTCTTTTGCAGATATCTTAAAGAGGAGTATAGACTTAATCCAAAGGAACTACTGTTATGACCTAAATAAGATGAAAAGGAAGTACTGGTTAGATAAACCTTGCATTTGTAAATAGGAAAGTAAAAGAAAGAACAGCACAAAAAAGCAGTGACACTTTGGTAATTTGATTATGTCATCTGAAGTTGCTAAAATTATTTGAGAATTAAGTGATGGCAATTAAAAAAAACAGTGAAAATTATCAAAGGAAAGAAAAGTAACAATGCCTTCCTAATTCATATTTAGCTTTAATTCTTAGCTCCCCTAAACTATAATCCCTGTATTAGAAACAAATTTATCCATTTAAAACAAATAATACATTTAACTCCTTTGCTCAAAACCCAGTAAAAATTTTCTATCACATTTGAATAAAATTCAAAGTTCCTGAAATCATATCGTGGGCTTTATGTGGACTGTTCCCCGATCATTTGTATGTTTCTTCCTGGTCTCAGGTTATTCTCCACTACTCATCAGTACTGTGCTGTGTGGTGCTCAGTCGCTCAGTCATGTCCGACTCTTTGCGATCCCATGAGAGCAGCGTGCCAGGCTCCTCTGTCCATGGGGATTCTCCAAGCAAGAATACAGGAGAGGGTTGCCATGTCTTCCTCCAGGGGATCTTCCCAACCCAGGGACTGAACCCAGGTCTCCCACATTGCAGGCAGATTCTTCACCAGCTGGGCCACCAGGGAAGCCCATGATTACTGGAGTGGGCAGCCTATCCCTTCTCCAGGGGATCTTCCTGACCCAGGAATTGAATGGGGGTTTTCTGCATTGCAGGTGGATTCTTAACCAGCTGAGCTACCAAGGAAGCCCACTAATCAGTTCTACCTATTGTGAATTTTGAGTTCCTTTAGTATACTAAAAAATCCCTGCTTTTTTCATTTCCATACCACTTAGCCATGTATCGTATTACCTGATGGCTATCCCTTCAATTTATTTTCACATCTCTATCGAAATATTTCACCTTATGCAGGCCTTCTCTGATTGTAAAATCAGATTCTATGCTCTCAATTTTTTTCTTATAAAAATTTTATAACCATTTTCAATATGTAAAGAGGGAAACTAGAGTTAAAGAGTGAAATTTTTATTATTTTAAAAGGGTTAATTATACAATGACTTAACTGTTCTAAATGCATATGCTCTAATACATATCCTCAAACTATGAGGCCAAGTTTGATAGAACTAAAAACTGATTTAGAGAAACCCACCCATGTTTGATCCCTAGATTGGGAAGACCCCCTGGAATAGGAAATGGCAAATCACTCCAGTATTCTTGCCTGGCAAGTCTCATAGACAGAGGGACCTAGCGGGCAACAGTCCACGGGGTAGCCAAGAGTAGGCTATGACTTAGCAGGAAACACACAATCGTAATAAGAGATTTTAGCATTCTTCTGTCAATAACTGATAGAAACCTCTCCAAATCACTAAAAATAAAGATTTTAAAAAATACAACTATCAAACGAAGTAACTGAGGTTTTAGTAGCCATAACACCTGAAAATGCACTTTCAAGTTTATCTGGAACATTATCCCCAAAAGATTATGCGCTAAGACACATTTTTAAGAAACAAATAACATCAATCTTACATCTTCCAGAAAACCAAACTCTTTTAGAAAACAGAAACATAGGAAACATTTCCTAATCAAATATAAAGGTCGACACAATGATGACATCAAAATCTGAACAGAATTCTACAAGAAACATTTACAGGCATAGCTTCTTCTTGAATACAAAGGCAAAAATCCTAAAAAAAAATATTAGCAGAACAAATTTAGTGGTATATAAAATTATAATACATTAAAGCTAAGTCAATTTGTTCTAGGAATACATGGTTTAATGCTTGAAAATCAATGTCATAAGCATACAAAGTATTTGATAAAATCCAAATCATGTATAGAATCATCAACATCATCATCATATATTAACTTCTTGGAAAGGTAAGGAGATGCTAAGGAGGTTAACAATCAAATATAGAGTTTCTAAAAGAAACCTATATTAAGTGTCTGACTTTGTAGTGGAAGTTTTTACTCTGAGATCAGGAACTAGCAAAAGGTGACTTTTAAAATCACCACTATTTAACACTGTACTGAAGGTACTAGCCAGGACAATAGAGCAAGAAAAATAAACAAGAGGCATAAGAATTAGAAAAAAAAAAGAGAAGAAAAACTGTTATTATTCTCAGGTGATATGATTATGGGTAAAGAATATTCAAAAGACTTGAGAGATAAGTAAGAGATTTCAGAAAGTGGCTGGATATAAGGTTGGTATACAAAAACAAAATAATATCAGAAAATGTCAAATATCTAGGAGTAAATTTAATGAAAAATGTATAAGAACACTATGAAGAAAATAGAGAGTATAGTGGGTAGAGATTTTAAGTTAAATAAGTGATGAATTATTCTGTATTCATGAATGTAAAATTGCAATATTCTAAAAAAAAATCAGTTCTTCCAAATTGACTTATAGATTTATTACAGTCTCAGAGAAAATTCAAACATTTATTGTGCAAATTAGGATCATTCCAAAATCTGTACATAAATGAAATGGATCAAAAGTATCAGAGTAGATGTTTCTTGAAGAACAACAAAAAAGTTGGAGCTCTTTTAAGACTTGATAATAAAATTTATCATAAATTATGTAGTAATTAGAGTATTAATATAAGGATAAACTGTAACAGAATGACAAGAAAAATTAAGAGAACCCATGCAGAGTTTCCTAAATTTAAATGAAGTAATCCATTGTAATCCAACAGTAATCCACTGTAAAAAATATGGTCTATATAACCAATAGCTGTGGGTCAATGAGACAACCAAATGTGTATCTTTGGAGGAGAATTTGACCCCCTACTCACACTGCAGGCAAAATTTAATTCAAGATGCACCACAGATTTAGATGCTGAAAGTTAAGATATTAAAGTTTCTAGAATATCTTAATAAGCTGAGTAAGCAAAGATTTCTTACATGTCATGAAAACAAAAATCTTTGGTTTTTAATTTAAAATAGAAACATTCTGTTCATCAAAATAAACCACAAAGAGAGAAAAAAAGGGAAATCCCAGAATTTAGAGAATATTTTTGCAAGAGAAAACAGAATAGTATTCAGATTATAAAAAGCACCCCTACAAGTCAATAAGAAAAAAGATGTACAACCCAACTTAAAAATGCACACAAACACTTGATCATGTCAAAAAAGTAGATATCCAAAGGCCAATAAGCAAATGAAATGGTATTTAACATTATTAGTTATGAGAGAAATGCAAATTAAAACAAATAGATACCACTACAAACCTACTGGATTGGTAGAAAATGACATGAAAATACAAAGTTTTGGTGAGGATAAAGCTCCTCTGAAATTCTCATATTCTGCTGACAGGACTGTAAATTGATACAATCACCTTAAGATGCTGTTAGACACTAGCTACTAAATACAGGTAAACGATATGACTCAGAAATTCAGTTCTCAAAAGAAAGGTGAATATGCACATTAAAAAGCAAGTACAAGAATGTTCGTAGTGTCTTTAGTCATACAGGCAACACTAGAAATAACTCAGTAACAAATAATCCATCAACAGTATACAGACTTTTAAAAATTGGTATATTCAATAATAGATTAAAAGTAGTGTATTCTATATTCAAAAGAATGGTATATATGCAACTATACTCATCCACATAGGTGAGTTTCACAAACATAATATTATGCGAAAAAAGAGTAAATACTGGATGATTCTATTTATTGGAAGCCCAGAAATAGGCAAAACTCATCTATGATGATGGGGGTGTGAATACTATGGAAGCACGAGGAAGTCTTCTGGGTATAGCCATATGTTCTCTACCTTAATCTGAGTGGTAAATATGTGAGTTTGACTGTATAGAAAAGAGGAAACGGAATGAGCAAGACTAAGGATGTAAAAGGTAAGTGCTCTGTATGGTAAGTGGCTGCTCAATGTGATTAGAGTATGTGGACGCCATGGATAGGAAGCAGTAAATATGTCTGCAGAGTTTGCTGCCTGATTATTGAACCCTTGAAAAACAATTTAAGATGTGTGCCGCCTTTCTTGCTTCTACTTGAGCTTAGTCTCCGGCATTGCCGTGCAGACTGACTCATGTAGAAGCAAGAAAGGAAACCTTACACCGCCAATTTTTGGAGGTCTTGTGAGATTAAGCAAGACCAATAAAAAAAAAAAAAAAAGAAAAACAATTTAAGGAGGTTGTTCTCATTTTGCTAGGCAGTAAATAACTATAGTTGTTGAACAGGGCATAAATAAGCTCAGTTATATTTAATGAAGAATAATGAATCATTAAATTAATAAATGAAGAATTATTAATGAATAATAATTTAATGAAGAATATACAACCTGATTGTATAAATCAGGTTAAAGAATATACAAGAATTCTTGTAAAAATTCTATGATCACATTTATACACTATACAAGTTTATATCCTAAATGAAGATGTTAAAAAATTAGAAGAATAATTTTTCAAGTACTATTAAAAAAAAATCCATAACAGAGTGTTAACAGGATGAAAACCTTAGAAACTGGTTTAGCTCCAAAAGACCAATATTTTAAGACCAGTATCCATATGTTGTAGCTAGCACTTACTTCATCAAATGTAAAATCTTCTAAATCTATTTCTTCATATTCTTCTTCAGATTCTTCATTCTTAATAGACTCTAGAGCTGTTGTCAGTTTCTTTCGCAAAAGAAAGCCCTTCCAAACTGCCTAAACAAAAATTTAAAGCATGTTATACAGGGTTATAGATCAAACTCCAAACCAGATTCTCTGTGTTATCCCATTAGGAAGATAAAACATCTTAGACCTTAGTTTAATGGCTCGATAATCTGTTTTTTGAACTTTATGTGACATTTAAAACTGCAAGATAAATTAAATGACTGCTTGTGTCTAAAGCTCTGAATCTCAGGGGACTTCCTCATAGTAAGCAGAAAAGAATCTTTAAAACTCCCTCAACTGCACATGTAGGTCAACCAATCAATTATCTGACAATCCCTCCAGGACCCATTCTAAATTAAGAAGAAAGAGATACAGAGGAAAACCAATTCTGTTAATTTTCAAATGATTATGTATAAAATAAACTAACACGCATTAAAGAAAACTTCAACATTTATAAATGGCCCTATTAGAGACTTGGTATCCTGGCCCATAACAATTAACTAATTTCATCTTTAAATAAACCAAGCACATGATAATAGAATTAAAAACATTAAGATTCCTCAATAACCATGGAGGAATCTTGGAGCTTTCCTAAATTTAACTCCAAGAACACTAGAGCTTTTAAAAAATTAGTATCTTTATACACTGCTAGGGGTAAGCTCCAGGACATATAGTAAGTGTAAAATACAGGTAGAAATAAGTGTTTATTGCATACCTTCATTTATCTATGAAAACCCATATAAATATATAATAAACACACATATAAATTTATATATTTAAATATATGTCATTGCTAATATTTATAAAGTGAAAGCATAAAGTACAAAATTAATTTTAAAAATTATTACCTATAGATATAGAAAACAGAGGGGAAGATATAGAAATAGAAGCCAGATATCTCTGAATATACACTTTGCTTAGATTTGAATTTGGAATTGTGTACAAGGTTAAGAAAACTGTAACAAATAAATATGAAATAAAATAAACTTCTGAAAAAATATATAAAGAGATTTTATGCTATGGGCATAACCACAGAGAAGTTATTTAAAGTGACTCTGAAATAGATTTATTTGGCTATACTCCTAGTGAAATGCAATCAAAAGGTAAATTTAATTACAAAAGTTACCTTAAATATATTTTAGTAATCATATTGTTAGCAATAATACTGGTGTTGCTATTCTGTGAAATATATATATATTGAGAAGAGGAATATACAAACAGATAATTGCCAGAATGTATATGACAATACAATAACACACAATCTCTACGACAACCAGCCTAGTAGGTCAAATCTCCACAACAATCAGCCAAGAATGGTTAAGACTTGGTCAGTGACTGCCAGCTTCCCTATTTTTGTTACTATTTCTGTCTCAGGACCAAGTGGACCAATAAGAGATAGCCAAACCTGCTTCCCCAACCAGTCACATAAGATGCCCCATTTCTAGCTGGCCAAGGCTGTATGCATGTGTGTGTGTGTGTGTGTGTGTTTGTACACACACATGCACTTACATAGTAGAAACAGGACTGAATAAATGAGAAAAAAAACAGACTATGGCAAGGGAGTCAGCCATCATTAGTTGCCTCTGGCAGAGACTCAATGACAAGGAAGGATGTGGGATAAATGTATATACATTTATATGATTGTCACATACTAGGCTCTCGGTAAACATTATTTTCCCAATTTATTTTCCCCCTTGTTTATAAAAATTCTATTTACTTATTTTATCAAATAAGAAAAGTGTGATATTAAACATCACATAAAGTTTAAAATGTATAATTAACTAAATTTTTATTATTTTGCCTCTAAAGATGAATTTTGGTATAGAAATAATATTCCAATACTTTTTAACTTGCTATGAATAAACTATAACCTCTCAAGAGAGTTCAAAACTCTTTCACGTGGAAAAGATCCCAGTATGAATCAAGAACTTGAACAACATTGAGTGGTAGAAACAGAAGAGAGGATATCTTTGTGTGATGAGGAACATGCTTAAAAGTATTGCCTAAGAAAGTGGACCTGCTCACTTTAATTTATCATGTGGAGAGTACCATCAGCTCTCTGCCCTCCTTTTTAGTCTCATGCAGCTGGGTTGTTATTATAGACCTGGGTATGTCATGTACTGTGGGTGACTGACATAGGCAATCTAGCTACCTTAAAGGAAAACAAACTGTTTTTCCTTTCTCCCTCTTAAGTCTGTTTGAGCTTCAGTAAGGAAAGTGCCATAGACTTGGTGACTTACACAACAAATGTATATTTCTCCTAATTCTAGAGGAGGCTAGGAGTCTAAGGCACTGACAGATTTATTGTCTGGTGAGACCAAGTTTCTTAGTTCACACTGTGTCCTCACATGGTAGTAGGTGCTAGACAGCTCTCTGGGCTCTCCTCTATGAGGGCACTAATCCCATTCATGTGGGCTCCACCATTACGACATATTCACTTCCAAAAGACCCCATCTCCAAATATCAACATAATGGAGATAAGGTTTCAACTTAGGAATATCATGGAGAACATAAACATTCAGGCAACAGAATCCTTCATTTGGGGATTTTTAAAACTCCTCTTTTATGATTCTTTTATCTGGCATTTATGCTCTCTTGGTTGCTAGCTACCTTTCAAATGCTTTGCCTCAACATGGCAAATGGGTCTGTGATTTCTTCCTGCTAGGGAGGTATCCCAGTAGGGAGGTACCCTTCATATCCCGTCTTCCCTGATCTTGTGCTAACAAAGTAAAGAGCATTAGGGAAACATGCCTTCTTTCCCTGGATTCTCTTTTTTTGTTGTTACATCATCTTCTCTTCTTCAGTTATCTCTCCTCAACATCCCCCTTTTCCTTATACCATTAAGATACCAAGATTAGGTGCAGTTTTAGGAAAAAGAGACTATAACAGGAATTCTTTAATACAGACCTTAAGTGACAAGAGTGAAAGGGCTGATTCATCATGTTTCACAGTGGATCCAGCCTAACTTATCAGGGACAGGACTTCTGCAGAGCTCTAAACTGTATTATACACACTGTATTTTTTTGGGGTGATACAGAGAGATACCTCTCTCCTGCATCAGTGGAGGGTCAGAAATTCAAGTCCAAGCCATGGGAAATAAAGGTAATGTAAGTGTGTAATCAGTGTTCAGATTCTTCTTCTAACTTATTTATTCATGTCAAGGTTTCCACTTTTTCCCCCTAGTCATTCAACTGTGATAAATTAAACTTTCTCACACATTCAAATCAATTCCCTGGCCAGAGTCCTATCTATATCAGATATACCTGACACCTTTTTCTTCTCTGTGAGTGATAGTCACTCAGTCATGTCCAACTCTTTGAGACCCCATGGACTGGAGCCCACCAGGGTCCTTTGTCCATGGGATTCTCTAGGCAAGAATACTGGAGTGGGTAGCCATTCTCTTCTTCTGGGGATCTTTTTGACCCAGGGATCTAACCCGGGTCTCCTTCATTGCAGGTAGACTCTTTACAGTCTGAGCTACAGGGAAAAAGACCATACTAAAAAGTACAAGGGAAGCTAGAATACCTAGGCTGGCTGTATGCTAGGAAGAAGAGGAGAGCTTGGGTTCTGGTGAGCAGAGAGCAGTCTTCACCACATCCTTCATGAATCTTCATTTTGCATTCTACTATATCATATTCTGCTCTGCAGGATGGCTAGACAGTCTAGAATTCATATTTTTAAGATGACTAGTTTAAGAAACTAGATGATTGTACTGAGGAGAAAAGAAAACGAAGTTGAGTTGACTTCAATGAATTAAGTGCCATGATGTAAATCAGGAGAGACTTATTCTAAGTTGCAAAGAAAGACTGAATTACACTTACTTTTGTTACAGACACAAACTTAACACAAGTATATTCAACAGATATAGTCACTGAGCTAGACTGTTTCATCAAATAATGAACTTCACTTTATTGAATAGAATGAAGCAAACATTCACCATCAACGTTGAAAAATGTATTGCTCATCCACTGATGAGGGGAGGAAACTTGAACTGCATGGCATTTTCATTCCGCATGCAACAGAACAATATCCTAAGACCATAACTGAGATTGGTTTCTTCCCCTCAAGAGTTTCCTTGAATCCATTGCACTCCCTCCCCTCCCAAGCCATTCAGGCATCAGCAAGAGCTTTGTCTATGCATTGCCCTGAGGAATGCAGCCCAGAAAAATTAAGTCAACCAAAATACTAAATGTATTCATTAGTACTATAGCAAAGACAATTCTCTTGAAAAAGTATGCCTTTAATAATGAAAACCAGCAACTTAGTTATAAGGTTATTTTTTCCAGTTGCTTATGCCAATACCTTGTAGGCATCTCTAACTCCTCCCTGTCTTTCAAAATCACATCCCCACAAACTAATATCACTAGGTCTACCTTCAAAGTATATATATATATATAAATATAAATCAACATATATTCTGGAATTCTCACTACTTCTGCACTGCTCCGGTCCATGCCACCATTATCTACTATTTGGATTACTGAAATAGCTTCCTGATTTCGCTGCTTCTTCCATAGCCTTCCTACAGCATTATCACAACCTAAGTAACTTTGGTCACGTTGAGTCCTCTGCTCAGACTCCTACAATATCTTCCCATGTCATTCAGAGTAAAAGCCAAAGTCTTTACAATGATTTACAATTTATAAGTCCTACTCTTCTCCCTTCATCCCTCTGCAGTCACAGTGCTTCCTCCTGCTCTATAAACACTGTGAGTGTGCTCCTAAAACAATGCCTTTCAATCTGATGTTTCTCTGCCTGAAATATTCTTCCCCAACATACCTAATGGTTTATCTCTTGCTACACTGTCCCCTTTTCTGGTCTTCCACATCTATTCTGTCTAAAATGATTAATTTTCCTTAGAAACTCCTATCTTGCTTCCCTGGTTTATTTTCCCCTTAGTACTTATCACTGTCTAATACACTTATCTTACTTATCTGCACATCCTAGCAGGATATAAGCTAGTAAAATTTTTGTGCCAAATAATATTTACTAAATGAGTGAATAAAGGGAAACATATTTTTTAGTTACTAGAATTCAATTTAGGTGCAGTACCACATTTCTAGCCTTTATTTTATATATTTAATTTGTTGTCCTTTGCCACCAGGACACAAACTCTAAGAGGGAAGAGATCTTGTATGCCTTGTTCCTAGCTGTATTTCTTAAACTGAAAACAATGCTTGACAACCGTATGTTCTAAAAATTATTTGATGAGTGAATAAATAAAGGATGAAGGTGAACAGATCGAACTTCATTTTTAAATCTTGTCTTGGTGAATTCTGAATTTTTAACTTAAACAAGTGTTTAAAAGACTTTACTAATTAAGATGGGCTTCCCAGGTGGCTCAGTGGTAAAGAATCCACCTACCAATGTAAGAGATGCCGAGATGCAGATTCCATCCCTGGGTCGGGAAGATCCCCTGGAGAAGGAAATGGCAACCAACTCCAGTATTTTTGCCTGGAGAATCCCATGGATAGAGGAGCCTAGTGGACCACAGTCTATGGGGTCGCAAAGAGTCAGACACAACTTAGTGATTGAGCACACACACAACAATTATTTTAGTCGATTTACACTTGTTTCTGTTGTTCCATGTCCAGGTCTAACTGTTGCTTCCTGACCTACATACAGATTTCTCAGGAGGCACGTCAGGTGGTCTGGTATTCCCATCTCTTTCAGAATTTTCCACGGTTTGTTGTGATCCAGTCAAAGGCTTTGGCATAGTCAATAGTGCAGAACTAGATGTTTTTCTGGAACTCTCTTGCTTTTTTGATGATCCAGCAGATGTTGGCAATTTGATCTCTGGTTCTTCTGCCTTTTCTAAATCCAGCTTGAACATCGGGAAGTTCTCGGTTCATGTATTGCTGAAGCCTGGCTTGGAGAATTTTGAGCATTACTTCACTAGCATGTGAGATGAGTGTAATTGTGCAGTAGTTTGAGCATTTTTTGGCATTGCCTTTCTTTGGGATTGGAATGAAAACTGACCTTTTCCAGTCTTGTGGCCACTAGTAGGTTTTCCAAATTTGCTGGCATATTGAGTGCAGCACATTCACAGCATCATCTTTCAGGATTTGAAATAGCTCAAGTGGAATTCCATCACCTCCATTAGCTTTGTTCATAGTGATGCTTCCTAAGGCCCACTTGACTTCACATTCCAGGGTGCCTGGCTCTAGGTGAGTGATCACACCATCATGATTATCTAGATTGTGAAGATCTTTTTTGTACAGATCTTCGTGTATTCTTGCCACCTCTTCGTAGTATCTTCTGCTTCTGTTAGGGCCACACCATTTCTGTCCTTTACTGAGCTCATCTCTGCATGGAATGTTCCCTTGGTATCTCTAATTTTCTTGAAGAGATCTTTAGTCTTTCCCATCTTATTGTTTTCTTCTGTTTCTTTGCACTGATCACTGAGGAAGGCTTTCTTATCTCTCCTTGCTAATCTTTGGAACTCTACATCCAAATGGGTGTATCTTTCCTTTTCTCCTTTGTTTTTCATTTCTCTTCTTTTCACAGATATTTGTAAGGCCTCCTCAGACAGCCATTTTGCTTTTCTTTTTCTTGGGGATGGTCTTGCTCCCTGTCTCCTGTACAATGTCACAAACCACTGTTCATCAGGTACTCTGTCTATCAGATCTAGTCCCTTAAATCTATTTCTCACTTCCACTGTATAATCGTTAGGGGTTTGATTTAGGTCGTACCTGGCCTAGTAGTTTTCCCTACTTTCTTCAATTTAAGTCTGAATTTGGCAATAAGGAGTTCATGATCTGAGCCACAGTCAGCTCCTGGTCTTGTTTTTGCTGACTGTA